TGACAAGGCTCCACTGAACTGATGGGAATCCAGCACTGTGGCCAAGCACTCTTTGAAGATCTAGAGGTAGATTTTTTAAAAATAGGACCCAGTAGAGCATCAGTTTTCAACCTGTGGGTTGCGACCTCTTTGGGGGTCAAATGACCCTTTCACAGGTGTCACCTAAAATCATTCAGAAACACATATTTCCAATGACAATTTAGAATAGCAGCAAAATTACAGTTATGAAGTAGCAACAATAATAATTTTATGGTTGGGTGTCACCACAACATGAGGAAGTGCATTAAAAGGTCATGGCATTAGGATGGTTGAGAACCACTGCAGTAGAAAAAATATTTATCTCACCATTTTCATCTGTACTTTCTTGGGCTGGGTTGAAGCTTACCTCACATATATAGAATAATCAAGAGAAGGAACCAAAGCTCTACTGGGAGACATCATCTCAAGATATGAAATGCCATTGACTACAGGATCAGACAATGGCCCAGCCTTTGTAGCAGAAATAGTACAGCAGGTAGCAATAACTCTAGGCATCCAATGGAATTTTTACATGACCTGCCAGCCCCACAGGACAGAAAAATTAAATGCATAAATCAGGCTTTTTAGCAGACCCTGTTGAAACACGATCCTGCCCTGTACTGATATATTGTCCCTAACTCTCCTGCTAGTATGTTGTTCTCCTTGGGCAAAGATCGGATTCTTAGTTATTGAAATCTTAAATGGAGACCTCCCCCACTGAGTAAATTCAAAGGGGATATAAAAAAAAAAAAAAGGAAATAAAAAAAATACTACAAGAATTAAGAAAAATTATTTTTGAGGTAAATAACTGGGTAAGTGATAAAATACCCATCTCCCAAGAAATAAACACACCCCAACAGACCAGGGGACCAAGTCTGGATAAAAGACTGAAAAAGAGTACTCCTCAAACCAACCTGGAAAGTGCCCTATTTAGTTATACTAAACACTCCCTCAGCTCTCAATGTTGCAGGTTTAAATACTTTGATCTACCACTCATGGGTGAAGGGAGCTCACCTGCTATATGACAACCAACCTACCTGGATAGTGATCACCAGCCAGAACAACCCTGTGCAGGTCACCCTTCAGAGGACAGTGAAACTTGCTGCTCAGTGTACAGCAAATGCCTGCGTACTCTGTCAGTGGAATTGAGGTTTGTCACCTGCTAGACTGATTCCAGCACTGAACTCCGTATCTGTAGAAGTTTTACAGGATAAAATAGAAGGAGTAGACCTACTGATTGCTTTAAAAAAGGGGATTGTGCCTCTTGTTAAGTAAGAAATATTGCTTTTATTTTAATTGGTCAGAAATATTTAGAGACATGGCCTAGCAGTTAAAGAAACAAATACTGGGCATGTTGGGTACTCCCATTAGCTGGTTTTCTCTTAATGCTTTTTATAGCACTTGCTGTTTGGCCCTTGTGTTCTCAACATGCTAACCCATTTTATTTTCTCTCACTTAGACCTCCAAGTACTCTCCTCTGGACAGTGAATAACTCTAGTTGCTGCATCCCTCCCTTTCCCTGCCTTTATTTCAGCAGGAAGTAGCCAGAGAGATCATTGCCCCTCTTTCTCACACAGCACTAAGAAAACTATCTGTCCAAAATGTTCTCTAAGTATGTGAGGAGCAGCTGAGAATCAAGAGGGGGAAATGAGAAGGCAAGCTATATACCAACAATCTCTTTATCTCATAGTGCAAAGAGCCCCACTCCTGGCTTTTGTGAGAAAGCAAGCCAGGTGCAGCTCCCAAGAGAATTCAGAGACCTTGACCTTGGCTTTCATAATTTCTGTACATCCACCAACTTCTTAAACTACAGCAGAACTAGAAGACCCCTAAAGTACCTGGAGGCTCACTTTGCATAACAGCAGTCCTTGGAGGTGACTTTGCTGGGATAGCATGTGTGCACATTAAATAGTCTTTTTCTAATCCTCCAAGTGTGTTTCAGTTTGTCTCTACCCACTGACCAAATTTCTGCCACCACAGAATGATCAAAATGTTAAATATTTAGGTATTTTTAAAATAACAGGGTACTAAATGTTAATTGAGTTTGCCTAATTTTGGCTTATTACAGAGAAGCTAGAGATTGGATTTAGATATGTTAATGAATATCTTATATTTACCTTAAAAATTGTCTCTTGAGAATGTGAATTTATTTTCCAAACTGAATAATATTAATTGCTTATAATAATAATATTATATGTTATTATATAATATTGCTTATAATAATAATAATTGCTTTAATGCACACACACACAGAGTTTAGGATTTCTAAGAGTTAAAAGTTTATGTTAAATTTAAAAGAAATTGAATGTTTTTGGTGAACAAAGGTATTAGGTATAAAGAGTTTTTTGTTTTTTGAAAGAAAGAAGATAATTCTAAAGCTGGTTATTTCTGAATGGATAAAAAGGTTTGTGAAGGTTGTAAAAAGGCTTGTAAAAAAATCTTAAAAAGCAAATAAACTAAATAAATTTAATTAGGTAAATGAATCTAAAATGAACAAATATAATATGTATTTGGTCTTTTTTAAGTCTGTTTATAAGGGGAAAAGTTTCTTTTACAACTATTTGCCTAGGAAGCAATTGTTCTATATATTATTAAAATGATTTTAATGTTATGCTATATTAATTGGGTACTTGATTACTTAAAAACACATTTTCTTAAGAAACAGTTTCACTTTGTATGAATAAATAATTTAATACTATTTTATAATAATAATAATATTTAACTTTTTGGTCAAATATGTTTGACAATCTCCCCAGGATTTAAACTTTAACAAACATTTTTTTTCTCTAGAATTACCTTTATGCATTCCAATAAGCCCTGGAATGCCTCATGGATTTATTTTTTCTCTTTATGAAGAAATAATGTTATGCTTAAGGTACTTAGAAATTTTAACTATATTTTACTTATATATACATATTACTAATAGCTGTCCTAGATATTATTTAAGTCTTCAGGAGTCTATAAGTTCTAATACGGGTTTTTTTTATAACTCTGTTAGTCTGGAATATTGTGTTTTATCAAAAAATAAACAAAAACAAACACAACAGGATTCTATTTCAATCGCATTGTAATTAGATTTTAACTGTGTCAATTTTTTTTATTTATAGTCATTGTTTTACTGATGCATTTGCAAAAATATTATATTTTCTAAAAGGTCCATGGAAAGTACTTATTTTATGTATCTCTGAAAATAAAAATTCAGATAATTTTTTTTGAACTGGATGATGGTCTTGTGTTTAAAATAACTATGCCAGGCTAAATCTAGACTTAATACAGTCACTTTAACAGAAGGGTACTTTAAGGGACAGAAAAATTATGTCTCAGTAAAAACCAGAAGACCCAATCATTGCTATTCAATTCCAGTGCAGTTAACTGTCTTGTTTAGTTCTAAGGCAGTGTTTGTGTATACAATATATGCTTCAGCACCTAATGACATTACCAGAGATGTACTAACTGCAGACAGTCTATCAGATTGCTACTGTGTGATTTTTATTTCAGTGGAAGTCTATATCTAAAAATCTTCTCAATTGGCTTAAGATTCAGTGTATACATTAACCTTATGTTTTGTGTTCTTCTGTTTTATAGAATGTATGCTTGTAACCCTGTTTATATAATTGCTTATTTACACAATATAGGCCTCATTACAGAAGTCATCTGCATTAAGTCTCATGTCTTTTAAAACATGAGACTTAATAATTTAAACTTATGATTTAGTCAGTAAAACATGAATGGTCTATCAACTTTACTTAAAAACTGCTTTCCCATTTTGACTCTCCCTCCTTTTTTCAGGCAGAGAAAATCTGATAATTCTACTTTCCAGGAAGCAGTTACTAAAAGACCCAATGCCACTTTTTCTTGAAAGAATTCAGAGCTAAAATTCAAAAGGAGAAAATATTATAGAACATAAATAATACAGTTCAATAAGACACTTTTTTATTTAAAACCAATATCATAGATATTAGATAATAAAATTAATAGGAGAAAATGAAAGGGGCAGGAGAGAATAATAGAATAATAGAGAACAAATCATAACAGGGTGTGGGCCATAGTTATATTACTATTTATAATAGCTAAGATCTGAAAACAGCCCAAGTGTCCAGCAGTAGATGAGTGGATAAGAAAGCTATGGTACATATACACAATGAGGTACTATGCAGCTGTAAGAATGACCTTTTATTCTTTGAGACAACATGGAGGGACCTAGAGAGTATTATTCTAAGTGAAACAAGCCAGGCAGAGAAACAAATATCACTTGATCTTTCTTATTTGTGAAATATAATGACATAACTGTCTGAGAAACATGGTAGATCCAGAGATGTGGAAGTAGGGTACAAACTGACATCCTCAGTTTAGGGGATGAGGGGGAGAAAAAAGATAAGCCATAGAATTTATATGCATGTATGCATAAAAGATGGACATGGACAACAAAGCTGGGGACAAGGTGGAAAAAAATTTGGAGGAGGATGTCAATGAGGAAAAGAAGAAAAAGGTCTGTAATAAAAATAAATTAAAAAAAAGAAATATTGAACATCCTTACTATGTTGTGATTACTTTGTTCTAATTTTTAAAAGCTCATTTTGATCTGGCTGAGAGTTTACATTAAGAATGCTGTATTTTTTCCCTGGCTAGTTTGGCTCAGCAGTTAGAGTATCAACCTGCAGTCCAGAAAGACCCGAGTTCAGTTCCCACTAAGGGCATGTACCTCAGTTGCCATTTGTCCTCGGCCCTGGTTGGGTTGTGCAGGTGGCAGCCACTCGATGTGTCCCTTTTACATCAATGCTTCTCTCTCTCTCTCACTCTTTCTCTCTCTCTCTCTCCCTCCTGCTCTATCTGACCAAAAAAAAAAAAAAGAAAGGAATGCTGTTTTTTTCTCATTACCTGAAAATGACACCCTCTCTCTCCCCACCTCATCATGGAAAGACCAAAATCTTTGTAGTCTTGGAGGTAGTACACTAAGGACAACTGCATTTTCTGGCTCTCATTACTTCTCCTTGCCATTAATCTCTAAATTTACTACCCATTGATATTCCCTTTGCCCACTTTTTTATGTAATACTCAATATAAGTGACAGAAGAAGTGTAGAGATTTTTGCATGATGATGTGGCTACTCTTTTATACTGCCAGCAATATTCAAATAAACTCATATAGAATTCAACTTTGTCTCTGATTAGTTGACTCAAGCAGTGACAGGCAGTCAAGACCCATTTGTTGTCTGGTTCCATAGTCTCTGCTCTGGTGTACTGATTGTGCCCTGAGGGGTCAAGAAAAAGAATAGTTATTCTGATGTATCAAAGGTATGTTATTGTAGGTGCAAAAGACAATAGACAGGTGTGATTAATGTAAAGGCTGATTTACTTTCAGGAAAGATGTTAGTCTAATACATGATTACATATCATAAAATGCTTTTAGTTAAAAAGCTTTAATTGTAGATTTTGTGTGTGCGTGGTTACTTTAGATCTTTGAATTTGCAGTGCCACACACAGGCTCTCTCTGAGCTTAATAAGTTAGTATATAGCCCCTTTTTGTCCACTTATTTTTTGTTTTAAATTAATGCAAGAAATGCATTGATTAACCAAACATTTGGTTGAATAATAATGTCTTATGCTATTAGAATAGCTTAATTTTAAGAAGTCTTATTGTTAATGTTTGTCTTGTTAAGTAATAAAACATTGGGGATGAGGCAAGGCTAAAACCTTGGGTAAAAGTTAAGACCAACTTTTTTAAAAAGTGAAAACAGGTAAATGGGAGGCAGTTAGTCTTACAGATTTTTTTAAAATATAGTTTTATTTTTTATCTATAATTATAATTTAGGTTTTGTTCTTTTATTTTTTATATTTTGTATTTAATATAACATTTATTTATAATTTGAGGGTAAAATATATACGTGTGTGTACATTTTAGTATTATTAATTTAATTATTTTGAGTTGTGTAATTAAAAATTGTAATTTAAAAAAATATTGGGGCCCAGGTTGTAAAAACATAAGCCTGTAAATTACCATTATGACTTTAAATTTCTGAGGCCATAAAAAGTAAATTTTATAAATAAATTTTTATGCCTTAGCAGCAGTTAGAGACAGCCATGTTTTCATAACCATTGCAGCTGCTACAAGAATTAATATAGTTAATAGTTCTTATTGGGTTAGGGGGTGAGCACATTTTATAATTAAGCTTTAGCATTTATATATAAAATCTCTTTTTGACTATTTTTTTACTAACTTTTTGCAATAGCATTTTCCCTTGAATTTAAAAAGTATTACTGATGAAAAAAAGTATTTTTGATAATACAAAATTTTATTGTATAGACCTTTAGTAACTATTAAGAGTCAGACTATACACAGGGTTTTAGAAAGCCTAAAAATTATGATAATAATTATTAACATTAATATTCACAGCAACATTAATTTGTCAGCATACAGACCTTGTATGTGTCTTTGGATGGCTCTCCATTTCTTATAATTGGGCTTTCGATCCTTGAAACGTCTTTGATGTTCACTGTAGATAAAGGTCAGTGTGAGTAACAAGAGCAGATGTCTATTAATAGTTAGGCATCTGAGAAGGCTCTTTCTAACAATCTTGGAGGGCATTTTTAATTAATGTCTGTTCCAATGGACAAAATTCTGTGGAAGTCATGGCCATTGAAGACTATTTCCATGAAACATAGTGTGAAATGAATATTATCAATGTATCAGTCACTATAACCTGCTTGAGTCTTTGATAATAATTCAGAATGTTATTTAAATTAAACCTTGAACTGTGTGCAATTTTTACAGCCCATAAACTCAGTGTGGATAAAGAAGTTCACCACCCAGGGACTGATTATGGCCTGCAAGGCATTATACACTGTCATCCTGCTTATGCAAATGGCTGTCAAGGTCAATGGCACCCTGACCTGGCTCTACCATTCCTGGATGAAGGCAGAAAAAGCAGAATGGACAAACCAGGCCTTTCCAGTTTCCTTAAAATGAGACTCTTGTGTTTACTGAAACAATATTTTTCTCTGATTATGACTATACAGGGGAATCTTTATATATCTGGGCTCCAGTGATACTGGAAACTTAAAAATAAAATATTGGCCCTGGCCAGTTTTGCTTCATGGTTAGAGCATTGAACTGCAGTCTAGAGAGACCCAGGTTTAGTTTCCACTAAGGGCACATACCTCGGTTGCAATTTGTCTCCAGCCCTGGTTGGTTGTGAGGGTGGCAGCCAATTGATGTGTCCCTTTCATATTGATGCTTTTCTCTCTCTCCCTCCCACTCTATCTGAACAAAAAATGGAAATACATCCTCAGTTAAGGATAAAAAATATATGGGAGGGCTCTGTGGGTTCTGTTATACCCGTATTTTTTCCCAGCCCTTGACCTGGTAGATATCTGGTTTTCAACATTTGGGTAGTAATAACAGCATTCAGGCTTTCCATTATTAATCCTAATTGGGATAAGAGGTCTCTACCACAAAGAGTTATAGGCAATCCAGCTATAACATATGGTTGTATGGTGCCCTGGTTACCTTTCTGATCTTTCCAAGTTAATAGCTTTGAACTTCTTTCTGTGTTTTGACTTTGCCCTATTCCTTTTAGGTGAGTCAGAGTTGTGTCTAAGGACCAGGCTATAGGCCAGTCTTCTTTTTTAATTATTGTTACATCAGCCCCTGTATCTATAAGCCCTGAAAATTTCTTACAACCTAACCAGAGAGACATAATGGGTTTTTGTGCTGATATGACCTCTGCCCAGTAAACATCTGATGATCCAAAGTCTTGATCACCTCTATGTCCTGATACTGCCCTATTTGTGGTGGGCATCAAAGGCAGGAGCAGCAATTGAGCAAATCTTTATCCTGTGATGACAGTACTAATATTTTTTTGGGATGACACCATAACCTTAATTTCTTTGGAGTAGTCATTGTCTATAAGTCCTCGAAGGACTTGTAGTCCATTCATTGTTGAACTGCTACATCCTATTATTACTTTAAATGTGTTTTCATGCAGAAGGCCAAAATTTCCAGTAGGAAGAGCCTAAACTCCCATTTCAGGGGTTAATACTGTGTAGGTAGTGGAACTGAGGTCCAATCCTGTGCTTCCTGTGGTGGCTCTGAGGAGGTTTGAAATGGATTGTTGTTTGCTGGAACAAAACTGACTGCCCCAAAGATTTGTTTGGCTTTGGGGGCCTGGGGCTGGCCCCTGTGCCCATTTTGCTGCATTGGGGGTAGTTTGTTACCCTGAACATCCTTTTTAGACTTACATTCACTAGCCCAATCTTTCGCCCTTTTACATCTAGGGCAAACTCCTGGAGTCTGAGTTTTTGAGTTATTAATGGGATTTCCTTTACAATTCCTTGCAAAATGGCCAGTTTTCCCACAGTTAAAACATTTACTATTGTTTTTTGGGGATAAGAACTGTATGACTGTATGCCATTGCAAGGCGGAAGCCATGGCATGGCCCTGTTAATAGGTAGTCCCTAATCAGAGCATAGGTGAATATAACCAGTTAAATCAGTCTTTTTCTTATAAGGTCTAATAGTTACTTGACAGGTGGCATTAGCGTTTTCAAAAGTCAATTGTTTAACAAAATCCATACCGGCATCTGCATTACCGACAATACTGCCTGCTGCAGTAATTAATCGGTGAACAAAATCTAGAAAAGGCTCATCAGGTCCTTGTTTAATGTTAGTAAGGGAAGAGCTCATGTCTCCCTTGGTGGGCAGTTTCCTCCATGCTCTAGTGCCTGCAGCCTGAAGTTGTGCAAAAAGACTTGCATCAAATTGCATTTGGGCATCACTATTGGCATAATTTCCTTCTCCTATTAGCATATCAAAATTCCATCCATTACCAGCTTGTGCATTGCGTTTAGCAATGTCCCTGCATTTCTCTACATATTCTGATTTCCATAGGAGAGAGTCCCCTCCAGCAAGTGTTGCTTGGGCTAATGTCTGCCAATCCCAGGCATAAGCCAATTTTTGACTACTGATTCTAAAATTGCCATAGTATCTGTATTGTGCTACAGCGTTCTTTAACTCCTTTATTAATTTAAAGTCAAACCTGCTATTGTGATGCCAAGCCTGTCCTTGCGTGTCCACTGGAAAAGCCTCTATATCATCTAGCTCTGGTGCAAGTTGCAAGCGCGGAGGGATCTTTGGGAAAGCTCCCCTCATGGGTGGCTTTTGATTACCAAGGACTTCTGATCTTCACTCTCCTTTTTAGATTTTCCTACTTTTAGTCCTTCTAATTGGGCTATGAGATCTTGGTGCTCTTTTTCCAGTTTTATTTGTTCTTTGCGGTGTTCAATTTTATCTCTAAGTTCTTTTCTAGGGTCAAGAACTGGACAGGCCAGTGGGGGCGGGGCACTGGGATTATATTATAAGGTGGGGGGCGTTGAGAAACAAGTGGCCAGTCAGAGTTACGATATCTGGCAGCTTCATCCACCAATTCATCCCAATTAACCTCCCCTCCGTCAGGAACAGTCTCCAAATATTCTGATAGGTTGGGATAAATAGAGCTTTTAGGCATAATTTTATTCCAAGTGGGCTCAGTTTCTTCTTCCTCTTTGTCACTATTAAATAACATGAAGTCCTCACATTCTTTACTTTCATTTTCATTCCCCTTTTTTTCATTCTGTAATATACCCTCGCCATATTCTACTATATTGGCAATGAGAGAATCAGAATGTCTCTGAGATAAAATCTAATCTATCAAATACCAATAAGAAAAAGCAGTTACCGGGACCTTCTCATGTCCATAAGTCTTATAGTACTCTCTAAGAACATCACCAACTATTTTCCATTGTTTTTGATCTATAATTCCCTCTGTAGCAAACCAAGGACAAACTTTCTTAATATAATCAAAATACTGACACAAATGCTTAATTTTCACCTTTACTCCTTGTGCTTTGATAGCCTTTTTTAGTCCTTCAATGAACACCTTCTTTTGGCTCAATGCTTGACCCATAATCACCGTTCACTTACCCGAGGAATACAGACACAGCAGGTTCCCATGTCGCTCCCTCTTTTCTTTTTCTTTCTTTTTCTTTGCTTTCCTTTCTGCCAGCCACTCGAACAGCGTCCTTCACTGGATATTCCATGCTGGCACCCCACGTTGGGTGCCACTTGACCCATCCTGCAGGTCAAGCAATGAGGACTCTAGAAGTGGAGTGAGGATGAGGAGGGACAAGAGACATGAGAAATGGAGACAAGACAGGATTCTGATCAAGTCTTGTTTATTCAGGGGTAATTCACACAATGGATAGGGCAAGAAGCACCTTTTGCCAAGCACCAAGCTTGCCCAGAGCAATTCCAGGAAATACTAAAAGAGGAATAAAAGGTCAGTAAAGTCTGGCTTGATGAGTAAATGGTTACTTAAAGAAATGCAAAATGCAGAGATAAAGAAATGCAGAATGCAGAGATATCCTGCCTTGGGGCAGGCGATGGCAGAGTAGATTTTAATAATATTGACACCATGCAAAAAGTATTCCACACTAGAGTCCTCTTTACTCCATCCACACCCTCACCAACACTTGTTTGATGATTTGTTGATGGTGGCAATTATAAAAGATGTTAGGTGATACCTCACTATTATATCAATTTGCATCTCTCTGATGAATAGTGATGTTGAGCATTTCATCATGTGTCTTTTAGCTGTTTGTATGTCCTGTTTGGAGAGGTGTCTATTTACTTCTGTGCCCATTTTTACATTGGGTTTTTTGTCTTTCTTTTGTTGAGTTGTACTCTATATATTTTGGACATTAACCCCTTATCTGATATATCATTGGCAATTATGCTGTCCCATACAGTGGGTTGCATTTTTATTTTGATGATTGTTTCTTTTTTTTTTTTTTTTTTTGTGCCCCAGCAGAAACTGAACCCAGAACACTTTGGTGCAGAGGCCAATGGTTCAACTGCTGAGCCAAACTGGCCTAGGCTGATGATTGTTACTTTTGCTCCATAGAAGCTTTTGAATTTGATGTAGTCCCATGTGTTTATATTTTTATTTGTTTCTGTAGCCTTAGGTGATGTATCAGTAAAAATTCTGCTATAAAAATGTATGAAATTTTGTAGCTGTATTTTCTTTTAGAATTTTTATAAATTTATGTGTCACATTTAAGTTGTTTATACATTTTGAGGGTATATTTATGTATGGTTGAAGTTGATGGTCTAGTTATATTATTTTGCATGTAGCTGTCCAATATTCCCAATACCATTTATTAAAGAGGTTGTCTTTAGTCTATTGTATCGTCTTGCCACCTATGTCAAATATTAATTGAGCCCTTTGAGTCAATTTTGGGGTCTCTGTTTTATTCTAATAATTTATGTGCCTTTTATTGTGCCAGTTCCAGGCTGCTTGGATTACAGTAGCTTTGTAGTATAACCTGATATCTGGTATTTTGATCCTACCTACTTTGTCCTTTTTCAAGATTGCTGGTCATTTTAGGTTTTATATCTACTCTTTTAGTATTTGTTCTAGTTTTGTAAGATATGTCATTTGTATATTGATGGAAATTGCATTGAATTTATAAATTGCTTTAGGTAGTATGGACTTTTAATAATATTAACTCTCTTAAATTATAAACAAGGTGTGTGCTTCCACTCTTTTATATTTTTTTAAATTTTTTCAATATCATGCATTTTTTTGCAAATAAGTCCTTTACTTCTTTGTGTAAGTTTATTCCTAACTATCTTAATTTTTCTGCCACTATCATAAATAAAATCATTTTTTTCAGTTTCTCTTTTTGTGAGTTTATTGTTGCTATATAAGAAAGCTGCTGATTTCTTGGCATTAATTTTGTATCTTGCTACTTTACCAAATTTATTTTTAAGTTTAGTAGATTTTTGATGGAGTTTTTGAGTTTTTTTATGTCATATGCAAATAATGACAGCTTCACATTCTTTTTTTTAATTTTGATCTTTTATTGTTTCTTTATGTTTGATTGCTGTGGCTAAGACTCCCAATTCTATGTTAAACAAGAGAGGCAAAGTGGGCATCCTTGTTTTGTTTCTGTTCTTTAAAAAAATGTTTTTAGTTTTTGTCTATAGAGTATGATGTTGGCTACAGGTCTTTCATATATGGCCTTTATTATGTTGAGATATTATTCCTCTATTCCCACATTGCTCAGCACCTGTTATAAAAAAATGCGTGCTAGATTTTGTCAAATGTTTTTTAAATAGTTTTTATCTTTCATTTTGTTTATGTGGTGTACAATATTTATTGATTTGTATATATTGTACCAACCTTGCATTTCTGAAATAAATTCCACTTGGTCATGGTAGATAATATTATTGATATACTAGCAAATCCAATTTGCTAGTATTTTGTTCCAAATTTTGGCATCTATATTCATCAGGGACATTGACCTATAGTTTTTGTTTTGTTTTGTTTTGGTTTCTTTAGTGTCTCTTTCTGGTTTTGGAATTAGAATTATGCTGACCTAAAAAATGGAGCTTCTTCTTGAATTTTTAGAAATAGTTTGAGAAGAATAGGTATTAGGTATTGGGTTTTTTTTGAAAATTTGGTAAAACTCCCTTGTGAAGGTGTCTTAGCCTGGACTTTTGTTCGCTGAAAGATCTTAATTACACCTTCAATTTTCTTCATTGTTATTGGTCTGTTCAAGTTTTCTATCTCTTCCCATTCCAGTTTTTGGAGAGTATGCACTTCTAGAAATTTGTCCATTTTGCTTAGATTGTCAAATTTGTTGCCATATAATTGTTCATAGTATTTGTTAGCAATCCTTTGTATTTCTGTGGTGTCAATTATTCATTCTATTTCATTTCTAATTTTTTTATCTGTCTTCTCTATATTTCTTGGCAAATCTAGCTAAAAGTCCATTAACTTGTTTATCATCTCAAATAAACAGCTCTTTGTTTCAGTGATTCTCTGAGTTGAGTTTTTGGTCTTCATGTTGTTTATTTCTGCTATGATTTTTACTGTTTTTTATACTTACTCAGAAGTATTTTTTGTTTTGTTTTGTTTTCTAGTTTTTAACTTGTTAAAGAGTCCATTAGAATTTCTTTTTTTAATTAAGGTGGGCTTGTAGTGCTATAAACTTTCCTCTTAGAACTGCTTTTGCTGCATCCCATAAATTTGGTGTTGTGTGTTTATTTTTATTGGTTTTAAAGAATTTTTTAATTTCTTCCTTGATCTCCATGGTAACCCATTTATTGTTCAATATGTTCAATAACATCCTATTTAGCCTCCGTATTTTCAAGTGTCTTTTCATGTTCTTGTTGCTATTGATTTCTACTTTTATGCCATTGTGATCTGAGAAAATGCTTGATATGTTTTTAATTTTCTTGAAAGTGTAGAGTCTTGGTTTGTATTCTAACATGTTGTCTATTTTTGAGATTGTCCCATGTGCACTTGAAAAAAATGTAAATTCTGCAATTTTGGAATGTAATTCTTGGCAGATAGCTATTAAATCTATTTGATTTAGAGCTTCATTTATAGTCTCTGTTTTCTTGTTAATTTTCTATCCAGATGATCTTTCCAGTGATGTAAGTGGGTTGTTGAAGTCCCCTGCTATGATTATATTGCTGTCAATTTTTTTAAGTTCTCCAGAAAAATTTTAATATATTTGGTGCTGTTATATTGGGTGCATATATGTTTACCAAGGTTATATCTTTATGATGGATAAATCCTTATATTATCTAGTGTCCTTCTTTGTCTTTAGTTATAACCTTCATTTTGAAATCTAATTGATCAGATATAAGTGTTCCTACCCAGCTGGTTTTTTCATCCTTTTACTTTCAACCTATGTAAGTCTTTTGTTGTAAGGTAGGTCTCTTGTAAACAACATACATGTGAGTCATGCTTTCTTATCCATTCAGCTCCTCAGAGCATTCATTCCACTTAAAAAGGTAATTATTGATATGTACTGATTTATTGCATTATTACATTTTTCTTTCTATTTCTTCTACTAATTACAGCAGTCCTTTTAACATTTTTTGCAGTACTGATTTGGTGCTAATATATTCCCTTAGCCTTGTTTTGTCTGAAAAGCTCTTTATTTGACCTTCTATTTTGAATAACCTTGCTGGGTAGAGCCATCTTGGTTTCAGATTTTTGTTTTTAATGACCTTAGTTATTTTAGGCCATTTTCTTCTGGTCTGTAGTGTTTCTGTTATGAATTCAGCTGATTACCTTATGGATGTTCCTTTGCAGGTAAAACTGTTGCTTATCTTTTGCTGCCTTTAAAATTTTCTTTTTGTTTTTAATTTTTGGCATTTTAATTATTATGTGTTCTGATGTGGGCCTGTTTTGGTTCTTCTTACTTAATCTTTTCTATGCTTTTTGAACTTGAATGCCTTCTTCCTTTACCAAGTTATGAAAGTTTACTCTCACTATTTCTTCAAATATATTCTCTAACCCTTGCTCATTTTCATTTTTGAGGGGAGAACCACTATGAAGCTAACGTTATTATGTTTCCAGTTGTCCCACAGTTCTCTTAACCTGTCTTCCTGCTTTTAATTGTGTTGTTGTTGTTGTTTTTTGTCTGGTTGATTTTTTCTACCCTGTTTTCTAATTCACTAGTCCATTCCTCAGCTTCCTTTACTCTGCTGATCAGTCTTTCCAATGTTTACTTTTTCTTTATTTTGCTATGTCATTTTCCACTTGGTTGGTTATCAATGTTTCTATATCTTTACTTATGATATAGAAATGTCCTTACTCATGCTGCTGAATTTTCTCAAGATCATGACTCTGAACTCTAACTCTGATAACTTGCTTAACTGCATTTTATTTATGTCATTTTTGATAGAATTTTCTTGTGTTTTTTTTTTAATTTATTTGGGATGTGTTTCTTTGTTTTACCATTTTGGCTATCTCAGTGCGGTTTGGAACCTGTCAATTTTTTTAGGGGGTTCTGCTATTTGTGGCTCTATCTTCTGGGTTTTGATGAGTGCAAGATAACCTATGTTAAACACCACTGTCAAGTCTTACTTTCCTGGGTAGGATTGAGAACCCAGAAAAGCTTCTTTTATTTTCTAGTTTTTGCCTGCAGGCTATTAGTCTCAGTTATTCAGAGCCCGAGATGTAATTTTTAGGTGATTTGCATTAGAAAATTTTCAGACGGTGGGCAAATGCTAATTGTTAATGAGACTCAATTTGCTTTTTTTTTTTTTTTGGCTCACTAGTGTGAAATTGAATTTCT